TCGATCGTCCGCTACCGGATGGCATTAAATGCGCAATTGAAAATTTCCAACTGAAACAACAAATCGCTTCGAAAGAAAAACAACAACAACAACAACAATAACACACATTCACGACAGGAATTCAATAAACTGCGATTGCGATCGGATATTTTTGGTTTTGTGCTAAACACGAGCAAAGTACAAAGTTATAAAAGAAACGAGTCAAATTTGAATCATCACTCGGATGGATTTGTTTGGCATTGTTATCGTCGAGATTGACGACTGCACCTCTATTTGTTCCGCATCGCAATTCTACAGCTCTCCGAATCGATTCGCTTGATTTGGCTAATTTGCTTTGTTGTACTTGGATCACACGTGTGCACTGTATGCACCAGTATCAACGTGCCCCAGCGAAATAATGCACACCGTTTTCGAAATCACTCACAACTATATATAAAAATGGAAAATTGCACTCGATTTAACTGCGCTCGCTCATTGCGACGCTTTTTTTTGTTTTTGTTTTTGTTTTTTTCATTTCGAATGCATTTTTAATGATACTTCCATCCATTTGCCGGAATTCGAATTGAGGAACCAGTTATATATACGCAATATCATCCAATTGTATGCAAAGCCACACAGCTGACCGATCGTATTTTGCGTGCTGCGTTTCTGTTTCGGTTTTTTTTTCTCTGTCTTCCTTCGTTCAGTTTAAGGAAAATGGATGTGATGTGTGAATTTGTCATTTTATTTGATTTCAAGCGAATGATTTCGAGTTGATTTCGAGCATATGTCGAATACTGGATGAATGAGACATATGTCGACTGGATAAGAAACAATACATTACAATAACGACAGCATTTATCTCTCTCACTGAGAAAATAAAAATTTGTCCCAAGTGTGAGATTTGTGTTATCATTTTTGGCCCAGAAAATTCAAATACACATCGTGAAAACGGATGTTTGTACATCGGCCATATAATCTGTGTGTCGACTTCGTGTTATTTCTGTGTTAGTTTTCGTTCCTTGTTTTGCAAGCAATCAAAACAATAACAAAATTGACGCTTTCGAATCGATTGGCGTGGTGTGGCGTGGCATGGCTGGCGTACATCTGCTGCTACCGCTCAATTGTAAACATGGAAAATCTTTGAGTCAGCTGTTCGTAATTGGCAGCCTCTACTACTCACTATGCAAACGATTATACAGAGTTTCTAAGCAATCGATCAAGCCTTGTTTACTTTACAGCGCTGGAAATATTCATTAATCATTTTGTTGTTTTTTTTTCATATTGAGAATGTCGTTGTAGTTGATTCAGTCAAAAGCGTTTATCGGAATTGAAATTCCCATACAATTTTAACAGTTTCAATTACGTTCGACAAGAATTTAAGAAAAAAATGTGATTGAAATGAAAAAAAAAAAACGTTTTTTCAAAAATGAATTCTAGCGCAAAAACATGAAAGTTAAACTAGATAAACGTTAACTCGGTTGATTGTTTGCTTTGTATAGCAACGAACCAGAATTACCAGAGAAAATTCACATAAACTGGACAGACACACAGCGAGTAGAAAGAAGAAAAAAAACGGAGCACATTTCGTGTGAACGTAGCGGCAGCAGCCGATACTGAGTGAGTATTGCGGCGAAAATGAACCACGAGATAACAATAAACTAACAGTCAACAAGTTTAGTCTATGAAATGGGCTTTCAACGAGAAACGATCCAACACAATGGAAATCAAAATTAGAAGAAAAAAACACACACACATTTTGCTGTGTTGCTCAACTTTTTCTCTTTCCATACACATTTTAACATCAATTTCGTTTTACTTAATCAATATTTCTGAAACGCCAATTGTGTCGTTCTAAGTACAATTTCTAATAAATCCAAAGTGGTTACAATTTTTTTTTTCTACACTTCACCCAAGTGTTGTTTACCTTTGGCGAATAAAAATTGAAGTGACCGGAGAAATGCTCGCTAGATACTCAATGATCGTGATTAACTGAGCAGAACCAAGCGTGTGTGTGTGTTTGTGTGTGTGGATGTACGACTATGAAAAGGCAATGACATGCTAAACATAATGCTCGGGTGCAATTTAGATTAAATGCCAAATGGCCCTATCAATGGTGTATCAATGGTGTATCAATGGCGAGAAAGAGACGCTAAAATACCATAGTTTTCTAATTTAAATAAAATCTCTCTGCTGGCGAGGTACAAAGAGGAAAATCATATCTTGTTCAATCCATATTCCTCGGCAGAGATTATTTTTGGATGAAGAGCGCCTCTATTGCGAGAGATTTCTTTTTTCAGGAAAAAATGGTGAATGTTTGCGGAAGCGAATCACTCGTGTAAAAAAAAAACAACAACAATCGAAAGAAAGAAATTGAGTCTTCGTGCAAGAAGCTCATACTTCTATGTGATTCTTGGCATTTTTTGTTGACTTAGTCAATTTGACTTGACCTTATCTTGCACTCTGCATCATTAAAAATCTTGAAATTAATTTGAATTTTTTACATGTGAATTTCATTTCGAATCGAAATTTCAAGAAAGAAACTCTTTTTAATTTTTATTTTCTAAAGTTTCCAGTTTTCTTGCTCTGAAACGAAAATACCGCAAAGAATAACATTTATATGATTTGATTGATGCTTTGGCGTACGCTTTTTCGTGCATTGCCGTTGAAATTATTCTCGCTTTGTTTTTATTCACTCGCTCGCTACAGCTGTGCAGCTGTACAATTCATACGGTTGATGAAGCGAGTACGACACGTTATAAGCGCGATGCGCGATGCGCGATGATTGATGAAAATTGATTCTGTGCAAAATTACACAGAGAATACATCTAATGGATAAATGATGAGTGATTTTACTATACTACACGGCGCAATTCATAGCGACTCGATCGTAGCTCCTTGAGAATATTTCGTTGTTCGGTAATCTTATCTTACTGATGCGTGTGTATGTGTGCGGTTTTTTTTAATGTGAAAGCGTTCGGTATAAATGAGATGAATCACTGAGTTGAGTGTATGACCACTTCGGTCCTCATCAAGAGAAAAAACAAAATTGTTCAACTTTCATTCCAAGGAAATACGAAATCATACACAAATTGAGCGTGTTGGTACTCTCTCAATGACGTAACGGGAATTATTTTTAAAATGCGAGCATAATTCATCGCTCACATGCGTTTAACTGTGGCTGGATTCCGTGAAATTTGTTTAACAACAAACGACCGAACCGAGTGGATGAATAATAGAGAACAAAGACACGATTCTCTGTGTGTTTCTGTTTTTTTTTCGGGTTGTGATGAACACATGCAGCGTTATAAAATAGAATCCGCGACGCATGCTACAGTTAAGAAGCGACACAAAATTCGAATAAACATGACATTCGATGCGACTCTTCACACATAAGACCTACCGATAAATAACCTCTTGCTGTTCAAGCAAGATCTGTTCCATGTCGTATGCGTACTGCTGTGTGTGTGTGTGTGTGTGTGGTTCGATCGACATTTGTGCACAGTTTTTTTACTCACTTCAAGTCATTCGCTCGTTTTTTCAAAGTTCTTCGTCATTTAAAAAAAGAATGAAATTGAAGTTCTTGTGTGTTTTTTTCTTCGGTGGAAAAAAAAAGTCCTGTTAGAACTTATAGTACTGGTGTTACTTATACGTATTATTTTCGAGACTTATAAGTAATTTAAGCACCGAAAATAATTCCGTTCAAATGGAATTCACGAAGAGAAGCGACACGCATTTCGACGAATAACTTTATTGTGTTTATTTTGCCGAGTTCCAAGTATTTGACAAAACCGGAGTGAAGAATTTCATTTCCAGAGCACAAAGTTGCTCTGTAACAATGCAGTCGCATACATTTATGCGTTCACGCGCCCACAACATACACACACACACACACACACACATGGCTATAAATCATGCAACTGACGAACGAACGAGATAACCAGTCGACGATATAAAAAATAACACAAACACAATGCAAAATCATATGATCACATCGCATATATGATGAGCATATAAGAATAGAAATATGGCAAAAAGAATACGAACAATGGAAAGAGCATCACTGTGCATGCCTTTTGCCGGCATTCTACAGCTTTAAATGGCAAATGCATTGTTTTACAATTTTCTCTTTCTCTCTTTCTCGCTATCTCGCTCTATGCCGTGTGCAGTTTATGACTCGGTATAAATAATATTCCAATTTTTTTCTATATATACTAAAGCATTCAACGCGTGCCGCGTCCATGTAGCGGTATTGTACTCTACTTCCGACGTTAATCATTCGATCGGAAGTGTTTGGTTTTACTACGTTGATTCTTGATAATGTCATAAAAATCCTGATTAGCTATCAATAAAACGACGACAGACTCTTGAACAAATGTACGAGAGAGTTCGTTTGCATTTCGTGCTGACTCAGTCCCACTCAAGTGGATTGCTCATCGTTAATGTCTCATTGAGATTGGAGTTAAAAGAGAACAAGCAGACTCAAGATACACGCCAATGAATGAATAAAATTCAAGGAAATCAATTGAATCCAATGCTTTTGATCTACGATACGTTTTCTTATGCTCCCTTTTTTTTCATCCGAAATTCATTTCGACGGTCGAACTTCGACCAGACCAACCCAATAAAGTCATCCGTTGTTCGTTTTATGAATGATTTGTTTAGAATGATTCGGTCGGTTACGCCGCGCCCGGTTTTTGTTTCCATTGTATTCGGTTGCTTGACAGCGACAAGAGTTATGAATGTGTGCGCATACGAACCGAGATAACATGTTCAAATGAAGTTTTTAATAATAATACGAACAATTTCGGCGAAATGAATTGCAGTGAAGTCACAATCGCGATATGAGAACGAACAAAATTAGCGAAAAATGCCAACGGAATAAATCGAAAGCGGAAAAAAAAATTGAAAATTCAAACAAAAAATGTAGATTGATCAAATAAAACTCAAAAACGAAGTGTAGTGATGTCAAATAAAATGAAAAGAGTGAATGAATTTGGTTGTATATTTCGAATATTTACCTTAATTGAGTGTCGCTGAGTGGACGAAAGTCACATTCGGCTATGGCTGCTGATGATCTACTCCCTGTTCCGATTATTCCTCGTGGGATTCAATTGGTTTTATTTGTAACACTTGAATATTTAAAATTCAATGAAAAGCGAATTAAATTGTCACTCTTTCTCTCGTTCTCAATATCAAGATCGTTCGTCTGTTTTTTTCCTTTCGTTAAACAAACAAATTCGTTTGCATATTTCGATACAATCAATGTTTTGGTTCGACGTTTTTCGCTCCGAATAGCAAACACACACCGAATTTGTTTTCTTTCAACGCTACGAGATACAATCTGTGCCTTTCTTTTCTCTTCAAATGAAATCGAGTGCCGGCGAATAAGCTCTTCAATTCTAAATTTGTTGCTGTTTTCTTGTAGTAGTATGGATTCCACTTTCGTTTACGGAAGTTCTGTCTCTGTTTCGATATTCGTAAAAATGTTCAATCGCAGATACAAATATTTTTTTTGGTTCGTGATTGTTAGTTGACTTTCATTTCATAACGATCATAATCTCTCTCTATCTCTCTCTGTAAAGAAAATCAATTAGACGAGAGATGTGAGTGCCCGCAGAATTGATAGTCATGCACTACACACACACACACACACACACACAATTGTACGGGTGTCGTTGGGTCTTCTTGATAAAAATCGTCCATCAACAGTGTGTGGTGAGAGTGATTGTTGGTGTTTTTGCTCTCAAAATGTCCAAAATGACACCAAAACTATGGCGAACTCTAAAAAGGCACTAATCAGCGGAACAACATCAACAAACCGAAATGATGATGACCGTTCAATATTCAAATCGTTGTAAAAAAAAAATTTCTCTTTCCGATTGCCTGATTTCTTTGTTGTTGTTGCTGTTGATTTTTTTTTCTTGCTTCTTCTTCTTCTTTTTTCGCTTCTGCTGTTCAACAAAACTCTTCTCTTGTGTGCCGATTGTGAATTTCTTCTTGACTTCGTTCAATTTCTTTTCTGTTTTTTTTTGTGATTTTTTTCTTGCTCTTTCCGCGTCTCGATATGCAGGCAGCAGCAGTAGCGAGTATATGTAAGGCGTTTTCTTTTTCCAACAGCGAAAAGAAAGAAGTTCAACACAAATTAGCAACAAATCAAATATATTATTTGTTTTTTATTATTTATATTCTGCGCCGAGAGATATGAATCACACAGTTTATTCGCCGCGTTTTGTCTCTTTGAATGAAGAAGAGAGTTGAATCGCGGAAGTTTTCGATTGATTTCTTCACTTTTATTCACCAGTTTTGCATGAATTTTCGAGTCTTTTTTGATAGATTTAAATCGGTTGTCCATTCAACAAACATATACAACTGACATAGATATTGAATTGATTGATTGTGATTTCTTATTCGTCACTAATTTACACTCAACAACGATCGATGTGTAACACTTTTGTTAATATTTTCTATTTGTAGATTCTTTCGATTTGCGTTTGTGCACATGGAAAAGTATTGGCCACGAAAGAAGATGCTGATGAAAAAATTAAATTTGTATGTCTCATTCGTTGCTTTGCGGTTGTCTTTGCTTCTTCTTTTCTGGTGTCTTCGTTTTCGTTTTATTTATTTATCTCCGTGAGTTTTGATTTAAACAATGCGAGCCAACGGACAAATATATACATCGAGCTCCAATTGAAACGAATGAAACACGATGAATTTTAAACAAAAATTGCAGCAATACGTAAATTCAACGATGAGTTTTTTTTTTCAGAAAAAAAGGCACTGGCAATCAAACCAATAAGAAAAATGTCAACAAACAGAAACAATAAACAACGGCTAAAACGATGTGTAGAATCGTCAATAAATCAATTAGATCATATATTGACAACGTTAATAGAACGCATGTTTCGAGCAGACTGAATGTTTAAGTCACTTTTTGACCAGACCAGACCAGAGCCAAAGCAAACGTAGCACATTGTGACTACAAAGCAGTAAAACAAGCTTAGAAAATACATATACACACACTCACATCACATCAATGGAACGCACGGTACATGTGTGTCGTTCGAACAAAGAGAAAGACTGGTATGCTGTTGAGATGGTTGTGTGTATGTGAAAGAGTACGAGCAACAATCTGAAAGGAATGGTATGAAAAGAAATACAAGAAAAAAAACGGCAATACAGTGCCGTGCCCGTACTAGCAGAAATAATAAACAAATGTGTGTTGGAATACGCGCAGAGAGTACGAAGAGGAAAAAGGAACAATCAGACAAAGAAAAAATAAAAATAAAATGCAAAAACAACAACAACACAAGCATATGGAAGTGAGACATAGCTCCAGATAAATGTTTTTTAACGGCTCGATGTGTACGTACGGTCTTTCTCTCGCTCACTCATTTGCTCATTGCATACGATCACGTAAGCGCACATGGTATACACTCATATTAGTAAAACCGACTGGAATAGTTTTCAGTTGATATTCTGCTAGAAAAAATCAACTCTTGAAGGGAAAAAAAAACCCGTGTGTGTGTGTGCGCGCGCGTTTTTTTTGCTCTTTGTTTGCATCATTCGGAATGAATCGGTTTTTGTTATATATGCTCTTTAGTTGCATTTGATGCTTCGGAATGATTGTTGATTTTGTTGTATTTTTCTTTGCCTAGCCACTTTCGAATGTGCAACACCAATGTGCGATGTAAAAATGGATGATGTTGATCGTCTTTACTTTGTATGACCGACGACGCATGTGTGTAGATCTCCACACATCTTTCAGTAGCCGCAATATCTCGTACTGCCAATGCAATGTAATGTGCACAAAAAAAACGACAGAAGAAAAGAAACAGTTTTGCGTTGGAACGAGGACAGATTTGCAAAGAATATTCACTGTGCAATGAACAAAAACAGCCGAACATTCGTCGACAGACGAATCAAAGCCCATTTCAAAAGCGAGAAATACAAGTGACAAAAAATTCTACTATGCGCGACTCAAAGCCGTAATATTCTTTTTGCTACCAAAGATATTCCGCTTGCTTGCAATCTGGCGCAACGAATGTGAAGGCGAAGGCGACGTGCACGTATTTCGACCATAACTCATTGACTCCATAAAAAAAACCAGAGGCAGTCATCGCTATAGCATTTTCTTTCCATTCAGTTTTCAGCTCATTTATGACGATAAACCATTTTATTTTATTTCGTTTTTTTTTTCAGCCATGGAAAGTGCCACGAACAATGCCTCCGAAACAGAAATTAAAAGCAACAACAACACCAACAAATATAATCATAAATACAAATTTATGCGTTCATAGTCGGATTTAAGCAGATTTTACGAACGGATTTATTACAAGTAAGCGACAATATTTTGGCGCCGGTCTGATCATTCTGGTAAATGAGGCAACGCATATTGCCAAACCCACAAGCAAAACGTAAAACGTCTCACTCGTTGGGCCAAACTTCGTGGCAAAGGGAAAAATTCATCAATCACTTTCGGACGGTCTGAAATCTCTCTCTAATCGCCTTATTTAGAATCTCGCTGAATTTTTGGATGAAAGAGAAGAAAACTCAAAACAAAAGTGCCGGAAAAAGTAACACACATAAAATCCACCGAAAAAAAGAGAAAGCCAATGAAAACGACGAAAATTCACATAGATCATAATCTGCGCATAATTTCGTTCGCTTCCATACTGTCACCCAACTCAACCAGACCATTAGAAATGTAGATAATCAGTCATTTCGACGGTGGTTTCTTTTTCGTCTTGTTGTTATTGTTGTTATTGTTGCTGGGGCTGGTGTTCGCGCAAAATATTTCGACCAAAAAGTTTGACTAGGCGCAGTGAAATGAGTCATAAGTAAAAAAAAAACAGAAACAAAACTGTCGGTTTTTTTTTGCTATGGAGCGAAGTTATTTTTGCGTACAGAGAATTGAAAGTGATCTTGTGGTGGTGTTGTGTACAACAGTGAAGCCATACGACACACCACGAAAGTGAATTGATGTTTCAATTAAATGTGATAAGTTCATAATCATCTATTTTGATACCGTTAGCATCAGGCAGGTGATCGCGACACAAACATGTTTCCGATCAATGTTGCGCAACGATTTAAATGAAAACACGTTGGGAAATTAAAGATGACTCGAGTGCTGATCGTAAGCGTAATACGCACTGAGGCCACTGAACCACACTGATCGACGGCCTGTTTTTATGCGATCAATGATTGCACTCAAGACCCGCATCAATTTGCAATGTGTAATTTTTCGCCAAACATTTTTCGTTTCGGCCAGCCTGTTCTCTTTTTTTTTGCTTCAATCAAATCATGTTTTTTATCAAACATTTTTGTTTCTGCATCAAATCGATTTTTTTCATCAAACACTTTTTTTCTTCAAACAAAAGCCAATTGTTGATTTGAAAACACTTTTTATCTATCATCATTTTAACTGTCATTTATGTGTGTGTTTCTTTCAAACCATTTATATGCATGTTTACGATGTATTTCATGGATCTCAATCAAATTTCATGAATGTTTTTTTTCAGAGGACCCTGAATATTGTGCGTTGCCCCAAATCAACACCTGTAATTCAAATCGAATCATACACCGGTGCCTTAAGGCCTGTACAATTATTGGAGATGAATAAAATCGAATAATAAATCTGATGTCATCACATGGTCATCATAGCAAAATCCGCCGATGACAAAATTTGGCATGAAATCTAAGGAAGAAAAACATACCGAAGAGAAGAAAGCCACACATGAGCAGCCACAAATACCAGCGGTGTGACATTGCTCTTCAAATCTAATTAAGCGATCGGAAACAAACTCAAGACCAAGTGCCGATCAAGAAAATCGATGAGAAATGAACAAATGCAAGGCAATCATTACACGTTTGGTCGTGAAAAAAAAGCGCGCGCGCGCACATACACCGCGCACAGCAAGCAGTAACATAACGATTTAATTGGGTTTAATTTGTATTGTTTCTTTAAGGGAAAACAAAACGGTTGCAATCGACTTGCTTCAATCGATTCTCTCCTTCTCTCTCACTCTCAGTCTGTGTCTACGATGCAAAAACAAAGGGAAAAAAGGTAAATTCTCGCGTTTCGATTTGCTCGTGCAACCGTTTGTAAATCTAATTAAGCAACCACACACCAATAAATCATCACTTTGATTTAATCTACCTTCAAATAGCTGTATCTATAGTTCGAAAATGAAAATCTCGACGGAACAACAAAGAAGAAGAGAAAAAAACGGAGGTAAAATCTTTGAAGAAAAAAAAGAAGCCAAAAACAACAAACCGAAAAAGTCTTTGAAAAGAAGAAGCTTAGCTTTGAAACCGTAAATAAGTGCGCGAAAAATTGGCTTCTGCCAATCTTTCAATGAGTTGAGGGAAACCGATTTATCTCGGGAGCTCGCGATGTTACACATTTTCGAATTGAACAACACCAGCCATAACTAATTAGATCATTACTCCGGTGTGAATAATTCATGATTCTATTTTTGATGATGTGATGAAGGCTAAGTTTCTCATTATTTCCATCATAATTTTGTTCGAATTGAATAACGAAGAAAAATGCGGCGAGCACGTATGCGATTTTTTCCATCTTGCATTGACTACTTAACAATGGACACATTAAATGGGTTCAGTGCATTGAATTTGCCAAAAAAAAAAAAAACGTACAAACCGCACAAAAATTCTTTTGTTCAATACCGACACACCAAAAAAAAACCGAATTCTTTGCACCTATTCATGACGATATTACAATCAAATTTTACGTCTATTTGCCCAATCGTTTATTTACAGTGCTTCCTTTTGGGCGCCGCTTTTTACACACGTTTGAATTAAGACATAAACAATAAAGTTCAAAACCATTTGTTTTTTTTAGCGGGTCACTGTCACCACTTCCACAGATTGAAAATATTATCCGTAAC